GGGCAGAGGTGAGCCTCCTCCCGGCCTCCCACAAGGATAAACGCCTTCCTCCTCACACACATTGGAAGCTGCCAACGCGACCCCATCAACGTCTATGGCGAGCGTTTGGAGACCCTTTCTCTGACAGGCGCCCCCAGCCAACGATTCCAATGGATCTTCCTCCAGGGTAAGGCTCTCATCCACCAATCAGAGCCCGCACACTTGCCGCCCGACTCTGGTAGGTGCTCCTTTAATATACAGTGCACTTACAGAATTCCCGGCTTTATCCAAGTCGATCAACCGGCTACCCAACCACGGCACGAGGTCCGCCACCACATCGAGACTCACGGTCCCCTGCCCACTCTCGCTGGTCGCTCGCCCCCGACAGATGTCGCAGCGCCAAGGCGGGGTTCGACCACATGAGGCAGTTAGGGATCATACGCCCTTCCAGCAGCCAATGGGGCGCCCTCTACATTTGGTGAAGAAGGACGGTGACTGGCGCCCGTGCGGTGATTGCCGTCATCTCAACACAGGTAACCGCCCCCGACAGATACCCGCTGCCACACCTGCACTCCTCCACGAGCTGTCCGGCTGTACGGTCTTCTCGAGGATCGACCTCGTGAGGGCGTACCACCAAATTCCGATCACTGAGGAGGACATCCCCAAGACGGCCGTCATTACACCGTTCGCCTTGTTCGAGTTTCTCAGGATGCCTTCGGTTCCGCAACGCCACTCAGACCTTCCGCGGTTCATGAACGACGTGACTCGCGGCCTTGAGGGGGTCTTCATATATCGACGACATCCTCGTCGCCAGCACCTCAGAGGCAGACCACGCCCGTCATCTCCGCGCCCTCTTCGGCAGACTACAAGAAGCCGGGGTCGTGATCAACCCAGGGAAATGTCTCTTCGGCGCAGCTTCGCTCTCTTTTCTAGGCCACACCCGTCACCCCTCAAGGCATCACCCAGCGCAGGAGAAGGTTACCGCCATAAAGAAGTTCCCCAAGCCTGCCACGGAGAAGCAACTTGAAAATTCCTGGGATGTTCAACTTCTACAGGAGATTCGTTCCCAAGTGTGCCCAGCTCCTCAAGCCCTTCACGCCCTGATCACACCTAACAGGGCCAGCAGAAACACCAAAATCAAGTGGACGCCCCTACAAACGAAGCCTTCGAAGCCTGCAAGGAAGCCCTGGCCTCCGCCACCTGCTGAACCCCTGCCCGAGGCTCCTCTCAGCATAGCAGTCGACGCCTCCGACACTGCCATCGCGCTGTCCTCCAGCAATGACAGGGTAAGCAATGGGAACCTCTTGCCTTCTTTTCGCAGACCTGTCGCCACGCCAGTCATGATACAGCGCCTTCGGAAAGGAACTCCTGGCAGCGTACTCCGCGGTGAGGCACTTCCAGCCGTACGTGGAGGCTAAGGAATTCCACATCCTGACGGACCATAAACCCCTCACCTTCGCCCTACACTCGAGGACCCGCCGCCAATCCCTCGCGAGGAGCGCCACCTGGACTACATCTCACAGTTCACGACGGACATCTGTCACATTCGGGCGCGGACAACGAGGCCGCCGATGCCCTCATAGAGGGTTACCATAGCTGCAGCGACCCACGCCGACGACGCAGTGGATTACCACCTGGTCAGCAGGGAACAACGCCAGGACGCGTCCATAATTCCGCTCATAGAGGGCCAGACTTCCCTTAGACTTGAGAGAGGCAAGATACCAAACTCCAGCGACGACCTGCTCTGCGATGTCTTCCTTGGCTACCCTCGACCATTCGTCCCGCCTTCCCTCCGCCGGCGATTCTTCGATGCATACCACCAGCATCGAGGCATCCGGGCCACCCAACATCTCATCCGCGGCAAAGTCGTCTGGCCTGGCATCAACAAAGACGTTCGACAATGGTGCCGCTCGTGCATTCGAATGCCAGAGACCAAGATCTACAGCATACAAAATCTCCCTTCCAGACGTTCCTATCCCAGACGAAAGGTTCCAACACATCCACATCGATATAGTGGACACCCCTGCCCTCGGACGACGGCTACAGCTACATCCTGATGATGATCGACCGCTTTACCAGATGGCCCGAGGCTACGCCTATCCGCGACATCACCGCAGCGACGGTCGCCAGGACCTTCCTCAGCACCTGGATCTCCCGTTTCGGCACGCCGGATACCGTCACTACCGACGCGGCGCCCAGTCGAGTCGGAAACTCTGGCGCCAGCTGATGGTACTACTCGGTTCCAAGAGAATCAGGACGACCGCCTACCACCCCTGCGCCAACGGCATGGTCGAGCGACTCCACCGGCATATGAAGCAGGCCCTGACATCCACCTCCTCCAACAGGAGGTGGGTCGACCAACTCCCCCATGTCCTCCTTAATATCCGGACATCCTTCAGGACCTGCAGTGCACCGCCGCGGAAATGCTCTACGGAACAACGCTCGCCCTCCCTGCAGATTTCATCGTCACAGCCGGCAACTTCGAACCAGGAACCTTCGGCAAACAACTCTGCGAACGGATGACCCGGGTACGCAGCCGACCGACGAGACCCACCCGACAACAGGACATATACATGCCCCCAGGACTCCAGGATTGCTCTCACGTCTTCGTGAGAAAACATCCCAGACCTCTGCTCTCCGTACGAGGGTCCATTCCCGGTCATCCGAAGAAGCGACAAGACGATCACAATCCACCGCCCAAAGGGAGAAGACACCGTGACTGTAGACCGCGTCAAACCCGCACACCTACACCAGCCCATCAAAATCACCAAAGTCCGTTTCGCGACCGCGAAACTAGAGGGGGAGTGCTGTAGCGGTTCCTGATTGGCCATCAATCGAGAACCGCACCTGACCTGTGATTGGCCGACTCCTGCCTCGGGACCGCCCAAACTGACCGAGTAAACATCGCCGGTCAGGTTCATAAGCAGCCGGACCTGAGCCGAAATCCTCTCCTCTCCTCGCTTCGCTCTTCGCTTGTTCTTGGAAAGCACTTACCGGAAAAGGCTTCACGGCATCGGGTGCGAGCTGCACCCCCTTCTGTGCTAACCTTCATGCCCAGTCCGTCACTCGTCAATGCGAAGCGCGTGACTTTCATGCCAAACGAAGATTTGCAGTCTCTGGGAACTGGCCAAGAACGCAGTCAGTAAAGGAACAAGTAACTTTTTTCCAACTTCTTCAACGAAACAACCGTAGAAGATTAGGAGATTTCCACATTGGAAGAGAAGAGATCTACCGCTTTCGAATGAAGTAAACTCGGAATTGATTGGAACCAACTTACAGTCCCCTCTGAGGCGAAGGTGAACCCTGCGGGCAAGTGCCACAAGGGGGGTCTGTAGTCAGACTGCCTTAAACCTCAGAGAAGGGTTGTTTTTCCTTGCTAGGGTTAGGGACTCCCTGGGGTGAAAGCTCGCTGGCATCACCAGTAGGTTTAAAACCTAGGGAGCTTAGGTAGGCGGTTCCAACAATTCTCGATGTTGAAGCCTGGTAAGAAGAAAAAAGGACCTCAGGAGAAAGTTCCGATGGATCCTCACTCTGAACCCCCCGACGACTCGTCAACGACTGACGAATCAACGGGGAAGAAGAAGAGGACGACTTCCCCTGAGACAACCCAGTCCCCTGACGACATGATGAAACCAGATCTTTCTAACGAAGACATTACCTCGACCAAGAAAGCCCGTCGCGCCTCACTGGAATCTACTCCAGACTCGCATACTCCAAATGACTCCTCCCACCCTGACTGCCATCCACTTCAAGAAGAAGAAACTAGTGAAGATATGGAAGCCTCCGCAGACCCTACCTCAAGACCATTGCAAGCACCTGACCAGCCTAGCACTTCCAAGTTCCGCATCACAAGCTCCAGAGACTTTGACACTGCAGTTGATTCACTGTTTGCCATTGAAAAGGAGTTTCCATTCATCGATGCTACCACCTCCATCACCAAAGAAGGAGACTTCATTCTCTCAGCCAACACTGAATCTACAAAAGATCTTTTAAACTCACTCCGTACTGTCATCCGGAAAGTGGTTAACATACTGCCCCCACGACTCCACCCAGGACCTTCAAATCTATTGTGGAACGCTTTCCAATAGGCTTCCCTCTACAACGCCTTACTGACCTACCCTTTTGTTATTTCGGCAACCAGATGTGTAACTAGAACCACCAAGGAGGAGACACGTCAAGTCCTTCTCATCACAAACGATACCCCGCCATCAGAGATCAATCTAGGTATTTTTGGAAAATTCCAAACAAGAGCATATATCCCGAGCCCCTTCGCTGTTTAAATGCCAGTGG